TTCCATGCAGACTCCAACAGACAGGGATCACTCACCATGTAGACACATGGAAAATTGCAATGGCACCAGGACCACAGGGAACTGTGGATATATGTCTGGATCTGCATGTGAAATATCAATTCCCTATCTCATCGTGTATTTTCTCCATGTGTTGTTGTACCTTACATCTCTATCACCATATATGATTTCCAAAGACTGATATTTTGTTCTATGATTTTAATTTGGTTAATACCAGCAAAAAGTTGCTGTTTAACAAAATAAACAAGACAAAGACAAAAGTAAAATATTTCATATTATGTGAAGGGTAGAGAAAGAGTATTTCAGCAAGGTTTCTACATTGTTGGGAAGAAGAAAGAAATAAAAAAGAATATTCTCACCAACACCCTGAAAAGGATGACACTCTCTTACACTTAAAGAATTGAGCATTTATCTATTTTTATAGAATTAAATACTTTGATCTTTTCCTCCCCCATTCAAACATCAATACTATCCCACTCAGAGAAACACTAAAAAGACCACTTTGGCTTCTTCAATGTTTTTGTTAATATTTATTGGCGTAAATCTGTAGTGTTAGGATAGTTTAGGAAAAGAAGACTTACAGTCTAGAATTTTGAGGTATCAAAATTTCTACAAAAATGCTTACGTTCAATGTTTTTAAAATACAAGCAAGTTGAAGTACATCACCATTCTCTACTTCTATGTAAACCATAGTTGCACTGAAATTGTTCTTATCACTTCAATAACTAACAGTATCTTATAATGTAAATGCTTCTACATGACAACTAAGATCTCTGTTTGCCTTCAAGAAAATTTAAAGAGTTGTCTTTAATAAAACAGAATAAAGCAAAGAGATGTCAGGTATCATCTTTTAGCTACCAAGTACCCCCCTGCTTACACAAAATTATACAGGATTAGTTTGCCTGGCAGTTTTAAAGCTACAATCTGGACTTTGTCAACTTTTTGGCACTAAAATTCCAGTGAAACCCAAGAAGATTACAGCTGGTGGTGTCACTTTAATAGCAACTGCTGAGCAGCCTTCCAGAAAGTTCAGCTTCACCTGATATAAACCCCTGGATTGGGAAGGATTCAAACTGGGAGTGTGAAGACTGCCAAAGACTGAGGCCACCTACAGCAGGGAGTGACAGCATTCCCACAGCCCATTTGGCTCCCAAAATCCAGTGCCAACAACAGCAGAATAACGGGAGAGTCAGCTCCTGCTGCCAGAGCTCCCATGAGAATGGGGTGGGATGGAGAGCCTGGGACCTGACTGTACCCTTTAAACATCTCTGCATTACCTATTGCCTTGTTGCAGGAAATGCCTGAAGTGGGTCTTTCTCCTTGAGCAAATTCCAACTGATTCACCGACACAAGCTGTAAGCAGAGGAAACTTCATTTCTCTGCTCAGAACAAATGAGATGGGCAGAAAAATCAAAGGGGCACAGGTGGAGCACAGGAGTGACAACTGCTGCACTTTTTCATGGCACAACACACAGACCACTCTCCTTAATTGCATCAGAAGCTTCTGGCAGAAGTTTTGCTCTCTGCAATTCTTCTTTGAATTCTGCCTCTATTTTGGACTTGTACTTTACAAGTAAAATTCAGCACTGACAGCACATTGCTGGCTGATTTATAGAACAGTTGGTATAACTTCCCAATCAGGGTTACAGTGCTTAAGATTCAGGGCCAAATTTTGTTCTTATAAAACTGTTCATCCTTTCCCCAAACACCCTCGGGAAGGAACTCCAGCAGTGTCCAAAAGTAGCAGGATGGAGCAGCTCCACGCTTGCCTCACAGTGGGCTTCACAAAGCAGAAGGGTGGGAAAGAAACCTAACTTGAGATATATTTCCTAAGCCACAGCTCTGAATAGAAACTCTGTCTGAATCTAGGTTTCCAGAATATCTTCCCAACCTTTAACACACAGGTGGGGGGGGAAAGAATAACAAACAATATAAGTCACAGAAAAACAGAAAGAGGAATTCAATGTAACTGGGACTGAAGGAAACACTTCTGCCAGCTAATGTTTGGCCTTGGAATGAGCACAAAGACGGATTTCTTATTTCAATCTATGCTACATGAAGAAAATTAAACAATTTTAAAAAGTCAAGCCTACACAAGCATATAAAATGCCCTCTTAGAATGAGCTACATGAGCAAAAAAGCTAAGAAGTCTAAATTTTCATATTTCAAAGACTATATATTTTCATATCTATCCCCAGTAAGGGCAAGAGAAACAGTTATCAAAAGGAGAAAGGAAAAAAAAAGCAGCAGCAGCAAAGGATAATGCATAATTCAGAGTCAGAAGTATTGGCCCTTGCCAGCTGGACAGCTACAGTAATCTCTCCAGTGGTTTATTCAGAATTTCCTCAAGTGAAAGACGACGGTTGGTTAAAAATGACACCTTAGGGATGCATATATAATCCTTCTCTGACTTCCATGTCATGTTTCCTCAGTTTACTTCAAGTCAAAATACATTTCTTTCCCTTGCTCCCAGCCCTGTAAGGTCAGCCCTGCTAATGAAAATCAAGCTGTCTTTTTTCTGCTATCAACAATAGTCAGATAACAAAATACAGGTTCTGAACTTGGCATGTTTAGTGTTGGTGATGATGCATAAGCTGAGAGCAGACAGCTTCATTTTCCTTTATCTGGGCTGGCCCTACAGAGAAAGAACTGAGGGAAAATAAAACCCAAAACAACAAACTTCTAGTTTTGATTAGTAGTAAACAAGTTGAGCAAACATGACATGACATAGATTTCAAAGTGCATAATATAACTTCATGAGCTGCAGTAATATCAAGAGAATGTAAAGAAATGCTAAAATTTGTGTAACCAACCCTTGGAATGCAGTTTATGATCTTACATGTCTTAATTAAAGATATTAATACACTGACCAGAGAGACAAAACAGAAAGGAAACCAGGAAAGATTCTTACACTTACACCATTTGTTTGTTATTTTTCTCTTCTATGTAACTTCCGAAGCACACTTTTGAAGCTTTATAGCACATGGCACAAACTTCCTGACAATCAGAATAAAATAACACTCCGCTGCTGGAATTTGCCTGCACCAGGATGTGTAGAAGAGCATCAAGGTTGTTCTGGGTGACCCATAAAATGGCAGCACACCCGTAACATTTTAGAGACTCACTGAAACAACTGCGCAATTAGAGAACTTTCAGCAGCAAGCAGGGTTTAAAGTTATCATGTAACAGCATGAAATTACACAGAAATTACAGTTTAGTGGTGCTGCTAGTTTGCAGCTGATCAGGAGGCCTGTACCATGCCCTCCAGTGGGGAAAACTGGTGCCATGGCTAATTATAAAACAAAAAATTGGCATTGCCCTGAGGCATCAATCCACTGTCGCTCTGCTTCCCAGCTGGGAGCAAGCAGGACCAGCAATCCATCACATTTGCTGTGTGCTGAGATCCACAGAGCAAGCTCAGCTACCACTGAGTACTCAGCAGGACTGTGCTCAGGCTGCAGTGGCTCTGTGCTCCTGGGCTAAAAGGACAAACTCCAAATGTCCTGCCCATGCTCAGAGCAGGCTGAGAGTGTGGGGAAGGGACTGAAGAAAATGGTATGGTTTAGCTTGGAAGGGACCTTAAAGATCTAATCCAACCCTCTGCCATGGCAGGGACACCTTCCACTATCCCAGGTTGCTCCAAGCCCTGTCCAACCTGGCCTTGGACACTTCTAGGGATGGGGCAGCCACAGCTTCTCTGGGCAACCTGTGCCAGGGCCTCACCACTCTCACATGGAAAAATTTCTTCCCAATATTCTACCTGACCCTGCTCTGTGACTTTAGAACAATTGCCCCTCTCCTGTTATTATCTGCTCATGAATAATACAACACATCTTCCCTCCCATATTCATATGACTCCAAAAAAATAAATTCTAGCTAATTTTATGTAGGATAAGAATATGATTTATCTGACAAAATCAATTTCCTTTTCTCTTGAATTTGATAATTCCTCATACAAATCAAAACCACTCCTCTAAAAAATCTGAAACTTTAGTTCTTTAGAGTATATCCATTCACCAAACATCCACTAAACTCAACAGGAATTTGAGTTATGGAGGTATTCCAGCACAAGGTTTTAAATAGACACTGACTGCACAGAGTGTGCACCAGCACAAGAAAAAGAAATACTCATCTGTGAGGGGCTATTGAAGCTCAGCTACTTCACTCTTCTAAATATAGAGTGCCCAGGATCTGCTGGGCTTAGGTATCGATGTTCTCAGCTTAATTTTAAAATCACTCATATTTTGATTATTTTTATGACAGTCTTGGATTTCCTCCAAGAGCTACATAGCTTTTTCTCTTTTTTTTAGTAGAAAGATTTGTGGCGAATTTTAAGACATTCTTAAATGAGGGACAAAGGGAGACCCTGTACTTACAATAAATGGTGGGGAAACCTCTTAAAAACCGTTTATGGGAATTATGTATAAGACAAATTAAGGCAAGAATAACAAAGGAAACCTGCACTATATGCTGCTGTTCTCATAAGTTATGATGAATTGTCTTCTGCTTTCTACGACTGCCAAAAAATTTGTATTTTTGACTTTGTTCACAGTCAGAACTGTGAGCACATGACTCACCCATACAAGGTGGCAATAAAACTTAGGTTTTATTGGTGATGTTTTCCCAAACCATGCAAACATTCTGGGGGCTCAGACTCCCAGCATATGCTGGCTTCTTGTTTGCTTCTGTTCCCTGAGAAAGGAAAACAGCTCTGCCATCTCTTGCTCCAAAGCTCCTTGTTTTGCAGGTCTCCTCTCTCCTGACCTAGGCCACCCCTGCTGTGGGAGTTCCCAGCAGGATGTGCTGATGCCATCTGACAGGTTTTGTGCTTATCCACAAAACTCGGCGACCTGAAGTGGCAAGGACAGAGCCTTTCCCACAGGGTGCCCCCGAAAGCCTGGGAAAGGGGGCTCTTCCTGCCTGCCCCTTTCCCAGCTCTGCGCAGGGGCTCCCTCTGCCCTCGGAGCCCAGCCAGAGCTCACCTGGTCAACGCAGGGGCTGTTAAATCCAAAGCAAACTGATCTTTGCACGTGTTGGAATTTGTATGAGAAAAAACCTGGGATTTCACTGCCAGGTCACAGGAAGTCACTATTAGCCCCAAAAGGTTTATGACCAGCTGTTCGGAGGGGGTATTTTTCCTGGGTTCATCCTGTTCCTTTTTCCATCTTTAACACCGGATTTTCTACAAAGAAACACAAGAAGAGTTTTTTTACTCTCCACGTTAGCCTGACTAAAGGTAAACCTCTTGTAAATTTTCCTCAAAAAACAGAGATACTAATTTTATTGCCTGAAATTTCTAATTTTTTTTTCCTCCACAAACTGAGAACCAGAATACTCAGCAATAGCATTCAACAGGAATAACAGCCCTACTATGCTTCAAATATCAAATTCAACTGGTTTTTTATGTTGCACTATTTAAAAAGTATTGAGCAAAATTTCCTTCATCGTCATCAATTCTCAATTCTCTCCCCCAAAAAAAGATTCCTGCACTGCTTGTTACATTTTAACACAGAAATTCAGCCTGTGGGATAAAAGTTGCAGCAAGATCTGCACGAGAAAACTGGGAACTATAATGTAAGAGCTTTGTAAAACCGACTGTAAAGTTTATAAGTATGTGATATAAATTTTATACATGTGTGATAATATGTGCAACACACTCATGGAGAAAAAACCCTTTGAGGTTCACTGGAGGCAGCTTGACTCTGATTTAGCCAAGTTTTAGAAAACCACATTTTCTTGTATAAAATTACTTTAAAAATGGGATTGTGAAATATGGCAGTGGATGTAGAATTACCTGACCCATGCAAACACATTCATTCTACACCCAGGTAATTAAATATGCTGATGGACCAGCCCCCCAGCTCTTGCAGGGCCACCATATCCATGGAAAATGCGCAACTCCTAGGAACAAACAACCAAAAGAAACGAGCAACAGAAAAAATGCTTCCCAGGAACCCCTGCTGTGAAGTACAAATGGCACAGCTAACAATTCAGTCACCCTACAAGCTTTTAGGCTGGAAAAGACCTTTAAGATCATAGAGTAAAACAGCCACTAGCAAGTTTATCATGAGAATTGCCTAAATCTGAAAGAGCACCAGAAGAAACAAGCAGGAACTCAGGAAAACTCATCAGACTCCAGCTATAAGAGGATTGCAGTAACCTTTTCATACTTCAGTGTGGATTTTACTGTCACTTCATTCAGAGTCAATGAACACTCTCAGGATACACATTATAGCCCTATCTGCTGAAGTGTCAGCATTCCTTTAAAAGCATAAATGGCAGGGATTTGCTGGTTTTCTGCAAGTATCACCATGGTGAAACTCTTCTGAGGAATCCCATTAATACAGGCACCGCTGGCATAATGTTTTACCTTGTGCTATCACCAGGAGCCTGTAGTTAGGTCAGGATCACATGGAATAGCCGTGAAGAGGTCAGAGTGGCACATCTTGCAATACTAATTCAACATCCCCTGCCAACGGGCACGGAACAGGGCTGGAGCTCAGCAGCAATACAGCAGGAGCTCCTCAGTGTCTGGGAGAACAACAGAGAATGAGCCTGGATGCAAATACTGGAGCAGAGGAATGGATTTCTATGCTTTGAACAAGCCCGTCTTTGCTCCCGTGAGTTGCAAGGAGTCCAAATGCGAAAGCTGAACTCCATAAATTGCCCTTCACTAAATCCCTCAATCTAAATTTGGCAGATGATCTGACCTGGTCAATAACCTGACAGCAAATGGTACTTGCTATCTTTTTCTAGAAAATATACATCTTTGCAGAGGCTATTCAGAAGGGAGAGAGCACATCCATTTCTGTCATGCAGAGAAAATGTTCCAAAATAAAAAGGAGCAATGAGAATTTCCTTCATGCTGCCTTGAAACTGTGCTGCTTCACCTTCCTGTTTTGATTGCCTAAAATTTCATGTTTTCAAGATTTATAAATGTGCTGCAAATGGAGGAAAACATTGCTACAAACACAGAGCTGTGTAGCACACTTCTGAACCTGGATCAGCCTTGCATTGATTCCCTTAATTCCACCTCCACGTCATCAGTGGCCAAACACTTCTCAAATGCTACAGAGAACTCACACAGTGGGCGATTATGGCTCTCAGGGAAAGTCTCTTTTCAACTTTTACAAGTCATAGATTTTAACTAATTCTCCAAGGATGCTGTCAATACTGCTGCTCACACCTCTTTCCTTCACTCCACACTGTTTTCCAAAGCTCGTTTGAAAGGCATCTTTTAAGTCTCCCAAAAACACTGTCTTTTCCTAGCTGTATCCCACCCTCATTACCTGTGCAAACCTCACTGAAGTCAGGGGTCCTCATGTGCAAAAACTTTGCTGTGCATTAAGAGCAAATGAAAGAGAAGTTGAAGATTTGAAACACTGCATTTTTTTGCAGATACTGTTTTAAGAACCTAAATGTCCTTATTATGATTCAGTGAGCTTTAAATGACATTTTAAAAAAATTTGCCCATCTCAGGGCAATGTACCATTCTTAAAATTAGGAGAGGAAAAAATACATATTCAGACAATACAACAAATTCACATCTTTTAAACATCCCCTAATTCAACCAGCACCCTTCTTCTTACACCTAATGTGACAGTTCTGAAAACTAGTTTCTTTGATTGAGTAGCAGAATTAATTCCCACCTCAAACCTGCAGGATGGGCCAGTGCATAAATCAAGTACTCTTGACTACATGTATTTTTATACTATTAACATTTTTTAACTCTAACATTGCAGGATTAAGTACCATTGTTTCAGGAAAACATTTCCTTAACATTAAATATCTTAAATTTTTTGTTATACTGCAACATGTAAAAGATTTCCTGTACCAAAAATCTAATCCCATATTTATCAGTGTGGTTTCAAGCCACTGAAGTCACTACTAATAAACACAGTGAAAGAAAAGGCAGAATTTAATCTCACCTGAATTCTACTTTTCCAGCTTTCTATCTGGAAAGGAGGCTAAACCAAAAATCATCACCTCTCTCCCTTCTCACAGCCCCACACAGCTTTGGCTTATTTCCCTCCACCACAGCTTAGTATTAAAGTGAAGCTTAAGGGTAGGGGCTTTTTTCTATCTTTTATCATCAAGGTTTAATACGCATGGAAGTTCAGAAGGCAAGAAGAAAGAGATATTTAATTGTTTTCATCCCAGAGGATATTATGGTGTAAGGCAGTTGCCGATTCCTGCAGATAATACTGTAACTGTACATCTTCATATACACATTTCAATCCTTCCCTCCTTTCCAGCCTAATTAACAGGCAGGTTGTGTAACTTTTGAAATAAAACATATTGACTTTTGTTTTCCCCATCCCTGTTTTGACATGGAGTGATTTGCCAAGGCAGAAAGTCCAAGCGCAACAGGCGCACGTATCACAAACTTCCCCGTAATGGGCATGCACTCACCCATTGGATCAACATCTTTCCATTTATTAGCATGACAAAGGACACAATTATTTTGGATATGCCTGAATGCAATTTTCATTAACTTTGCAATGATTTATTAACAAAAGTGTCAGGAATGTAATAAAAGCAGCAGGACTCCTCAAAATGCCAAAAAAAAAAAAAAAAAAAAAAAAAAAAAAAAAAAAAAAAAAAAAAAAAAAAAAAAAAAAAAAAAAAAGGAAAAAAAAAAAAAGAATACAGCAGAATTTCCAAACATGCCTTGCAGCATCAGGTCAATAAGGTAGCTCGATTCTATCAAAAGCATCACCATGGTGAGTGAACTCTGCAATTAACAAAGAGTAAGCACAAAAAATGCTAATATCTCATTTGAATGTAATTATGCACAGATTACTGTTCACTGGAACAAGAAAAGGGATTTTAATTGTCACCCAAAGTTACATGCAAGCCCAGGATTCAAGTTAACTTTTTTTGTTCAATAGAGTTTATGCAACACTAAAACTGGAGAGTTCACAAATTCTTGTTTTCAGTGACTTTGTGAAAGGACTGCTCTGACTTTGTATCAAGTGTGCAACTTCCTGAGTCCTTTTGTAACATCCCTCCATGTATGTTGGCAAGGTTAGTTTGTAATAAGTTCTCCCATCATTTGCATTTTAATACTATTTGATCTCATTTACATGTTTAAATTTGTTCCTGTAATAAAATTCATTAGTATGTTTATCATAACCACATAATGAATATAGCCCTTATGTAAAATAAAAAATTGAAAGTACATTAGAGACATTACAAGCTGTTTGAAATTACTGTGCTTTGCATATTATACCTTATTAATTAAATTATAAATTATTTATTTATGTATGTCTTTAATCAGGGGCAAGCACTAGAACAATATTATATTAGTATAAGAAACACAATACAACTCCAAGCTAATTCACACATGGACCAGTTTTCCATTCATAGGATTCCTTTTGCCACAGGAAGGCAAATGCCATTCCCTGCTGTGCATCAGGGGACATAAACCAGCTACCTAAAGGGCAGTGAGGGGAAAATGTTTCTTGTGCAAGAGAAAACTTAACTTGTTAAGATAATATCTCCTTTGCATTTCCTCCTTTGGAGCATAATTAAATCAGATATGCAGATGGAACTGGAGAATAAGTCATTATTCAGGCTAATGCCGCATTCACATTATATAGAGTCACTGATTTAAAAAAATTAATAAACGGGAATAAAAATCTTTCCATGTTTGAAGTGGTTTCTAAAGTTCAGCAGACAAAATTTAGCCTTTTATAATCATAGAGAATGTTAGGAAAATATCACAAGAGTGCCAAGACAGTTGTTTGAATTCATACTCTTTTTAACTAAACTGTTAGAAAGAAAAATTAATCCAATGATATGCAACATTATTACTTCAAGAAAAAATAGAGTTTATAAAAAAGAATTAATATTTGGAAGAAAACTATCATGTATTAAAAACAAAATCCACAAGATTACAGAAAAATGAGACTTGTATGTTTAAAGGTCAGTGGAACCTGTAGAAAATACCAAGGTATGAAAAAAGTGAAAGAAATTAAAAGAAGATGCCAAGAATGAAATGACAAAATGCATAATTGAGATGGAAGATGTGTACAAAACTTGTTCCTATTCTGATATCAAGAACTGGGGTTCAGTTTTATTTTCAATCCCACTGGGAATTCTGAGTAGCTCATGTTGTGTCCTGTGGAAAGTGCTGAAGGATGAGCACCTTTGCCATGGGCTCTCTTTGTGTCAGTCTGAATCCTAAAGA